ATTGAGATATACGCCAAGCCGATCCCCGAGGGAGGTGACCCCAGTTGTTTCGATTGGAACAGCGTCGTTGCTATTCGATGGGTTGGCGGTCACAGTTGTGTCAACCCACTTTCCAAGCCATGGAATATGGGATGGGAGAGCCTACAATGGACAGATGTCAAATACCTCCATCACGGCACAGCAGCCCGCGCTTGGCGCAACATATTGAAGACAGGGATCATTCCAGGCTACATCGATCCATCTTCTCAGAGAGACAAGCATCATAAACCATCACAGCGCTCGGAGGCATTCTTCAGTTCCAGCACATATTTAGACAATGTCCAGAAGAATCCCCATACCTCAGTGGAGTCATACAAGTTCAATAACTACAAGAACGAGGTCGAGCTGGTGATCAATATGGAGATCGCCACAAAAGCAGGTTGCAGGTTTTGGCTGGGCGCTCAAGGCGCTATCATGACAGAGGACGTGGTGCCCGCTGCGGCAACTATTGCAATTCGCCGCCTCAAACCACATCACATGCACGGCCAGCAGATATGGCCAGATGGCGAACCATGGGACTACCCGCCATTGGCCGCAAGACCGCCATTGAGCAAGTACGAGATTTGTGCCTACCTCCCTGGAGAGTTCATCGACGACCCTCCTGGGATTGCACTTGCCGATACGGACCAGAACATGGAGCAGCCAAGGACAACGTCAGCATCAGCAACTTCGGCTCAGCTGGGGGAAACCCCTGCTAGCCGTGCATCTGCAGCCGATGCCTTGGATGAGCAACTAGTCCGTGCTATGATTCGGGAAACCAATCACAAAGCAGATGGTAAAGAGTGGTTAATTGCCTTGTCATACTGCCGAGAAGCTCTTCGACCTATCACATCAAAGATTACACAAAAAGATTGGGGCCGTCGCCCTGCATTTAATGATGTTCGCATGGGGGACTTCATTATCATTGAGAATTGGGGATCTATCAAATGCTTTCATTGCGACAATCACTGGCCCAAGGGCAATCACAATACTAAAATTCCTTTGGCCAAGGGACACATATATGGTCCAATCATTCATTCGGCGTCTTTGACAAGTTCTTCGCGGTACATATACCTATTCTCAACTACGGTTTACGATGGGTAAACATATGGTACAACGACAAAAGCATGCCTCTCAAGGGCGTCGTCTTTGCATTACCGGTTCGTATCGACGAACATACCATTGACCCGACATATATGAATACTGTCCTGGAGGGACCATCCTCATGCCGTGACAAGATACTCCAGCACAAGAATGATGGTAGTTTATACCATACCTTGGTATGCCGAGCATTTATAGACCACGTATTCCGCGTACACCGACCAGACGGCCCGCTCCTCGGACACCCGATCCCGACGAGCTGGTGGCCACACCTGCCGAGGACACCGCTCCTACGGGCGATAGACCTCAACAAACTGCAGGATCATCTAGTGAACCCTTGGTTACCGTTATCGTGGACATATCGAACATATCGCTCACCGCTGATGAGAGCAGATCTCTCAGCATAAATTCAAGCAGATGAGCACGTTGACGCGAGCATACTCGACAACATCATTGACCCGCCAGCAGACTTCCTCAACCATCCAGACTACGACCCAGACGAGGATTCAAGGTGGATTAGACAGTCAGATGACCGCCGCATATATCGTTGGACTTCGGAGTTGTTGGTGGATTCGCCTATGATAAAGATGAAGCAGATCATCGAGATACACAGCGGTGCGGACAGAATTGTAATGGATAAAACACAATCGCACTTACAATTCGAGATTCGATTTGGATCGACAGCATGGAATGCAGAGTCATACCATTTGAATTATGATCATACCCACAAATGGGCACGTGACTTGCCAATTTGCAGTGCAGACCACTTTTTCATAAAGTTGGTACATTACCTGGACCCAGAGACTATCGAGGAGTCGACTACAGGCATCTTTCAATGGATCTCCAAAGTATGTCAGAACATTTTGATGGACAGTATTACGGAGCTCCCTGATTTCACAAAAAATGCCATCCATCAGAAACATCCTGCACTCCAAGCGTTGCGTGACCTATTCAAGTATTGTACCGAGACATACGGTAACCCAGACTTCCCCGTATGGGAGGAGCTGGTGGAAACACCTGCCGCGCCTCGTGAGCAAGGCGCGGAGCAGGGTATTCCCCAGGACCCAGGCAGCGTTGCATCCGCAGCTCCTGATCAGGAAACCATGGTACGCATCATAGCCGAGCAGACGGGACTCAAGCGCGAGGAGGGCGACAACGAGTCCGCCTTGCAGGAGAAGGCTCGCCGTCTTCGTACCGAAAACATATGCCATGGTGGTACCGAGGATGCGGACAACAACAAGACAGAGTACAAAGGACTGCCAGGGGAAGGATTGTCTAGGATCGAGATTGAGGGATTGAGTAGATCAATCGCTTCCCGACCGAACACCGAGATCAATCGCGAGGCCATCAATCAGATCGGCCATAGTCTCGCTCGCGGTCAGGACACTCGCTGGGGATCCCGTGATACCTCACGACGGAGGGGGCCCCAGAAACGATCTTGCATAACATCCCGCTCTGTCAGAATTGCGGTCGAGATTTATCCCTTGGGATCGTCACAGGTGATGGTACCCTTTGTGACATCTGTTGGCAGTATACCGTAGCCGTAGGTGCTACGGGTAAGAGTGCCGCCGTCCAGAGCGATCTGGCGTACCTCCACAAGCTGACCAACTGGATCAAGACGACGCTCTCCCAGGACGCCATCGCGAGATACATGGAAGACGGATCGCAAGTCATTATGACGGGCGCACGATCACACCCAGGTATTGAGAAATATTCGTTGAGGAGAATGGCTAATGCGTCTAGGAAGAGGTATCATAAGTGGGTCGAATCTGGTAGCCCTCCTGCACACGAGTGCAGAGTGATGGGCGAAGCCGATGACGACAGACCTCTGTACTACCCATATGCCAATCTCGTTCAACGCTCTCTCAACGATTTGAAGTTCCACCACCAAATGGCAGGCGCTCGCGTGAACGTGGGCAAGAGGGCCTGGAGCGTGGAGGACATGCGTGATGCGTGGGACATCCTCGATGTCAGCACCAGGACAGGACAAGCTGGTCGGAAGAAGTGGTGGCTGAACGAGGGCCGACTCGACAGGCAGACGCGGCAGGCTCGCGGACTTATCACGATTGCCCTCCCTAGAAGGGACGTCACCCGTGAAAAGTTCACTCAGCGTAAGCTTGCTGCGATTGCTAACGAATTGTTGGGCTCCCTCGATCCGTCACATACCGACCAGAGGGGGGTTGATTCAGGGGCGAGAACCGATCCAACCGATCCCGATACACACTCCCATCAGTCCGATGATGCCATGGAGCCGCGCCATCCGCCGCCGCCGCCGCGCTCTGCCCCTGGCGATGCTGCACAGTCCAGCGCCTCTGACGCGACGGACCACACGCCCGCGGGGCCACGTGCCAAGAGAGCGCGTACATCAGATTACGCCGCCTACTGGCGCGACGACCTCGAGGATAGCCATTGGGGCCTCAGGTATTGGAGCTACTACATCAACTGTTGGATCTACATCGCGATGAACAACGACGAGTACGTATACATCCACGACATCCAGTACAATGATTGGTTTCGCCACTGGATCCCGAGGACATCTTGGGAAACGTTCACGACGAGCTACGTGACGTGCAACGGCCAGAGGATGTGGGACCGCAGGTTCTACAAGAACGGCAACGCGTAGTGAGTCGGCCGCAAGGCCCACCGCTCAAAGGCATGAACTTCATTATAACCAAAGTTCGCCTTGAGCGGTGGCTATACATACTTTTAGGCCACTTCATTATATAACACAAGTGGCCACGCACACAAATACCTTTTTGCGATGACCGAGGCAGCCTCCTAAGGAGCAAAGCCAACGGGAGTCGCCAAACATAATTTATATACATGCAGTTTTCGTGTTTATCAGCGCGACATTCCGTCTGGCCAGACATTTGCTTTTACACGCAGTTGTGTTTCGTTGCAAGATCGTGTTCGTCAACGCGATCTTAGCATGCATATTCTTTAGAGTTTAACCTCATTGCGTTGAGAATAATCTGACAGCTGGTGGCAACACCTGCCTCGCAAAAGCAAGGCAGTTTGCATGTTGCTTTAATGCTCAGATCTTCTTTCTCCGCCCACCCTTGTCTCATTCTTCTCCGCCCTCGAGTGCCGAAGCGTTTTGGGGGGGCGCACCGAGGGGGCGCCAAAGTGTGCTTGGCGAAGAAATGGGGACCCAGGGTGTTCCTTCTTACTTCACTTTGCAGCTGAGGCTACACTGACTTTAAGCCCAGCTGCCTGCAGACTTAAGGATCATAGGAGTAAAAGGGTGACGGATTCTCTTCCTTTGTTCCCGAGTCCTGCCCTCACGAGCGGGATTCGGGACGGGGGGTGTGAATAGAACCCGTGTGATACCCTCATCTATACTCCTTATCCTTACCTCTCCTGCGCCTGGCCGTTTGGGCTCAGGTATTGAGATATATCGATCAGACTTTTGATCGTGCAGGAGGGAAAGACATCCATCTATCCCTCCTTCTCTCTACCAACGGATCAGGGGTTCTGTACCCTGTACTTCAACCCCATACACACCAGCAGGCGTTCCTTAGCGCGTGTCCCAAGTCTGCTGCTGCGTCAGTCAGGCGGCATCATTCAGAATGAGCAGTTTTCCATGGGTGCCCTTGCATCCTGGTCTCTCGGCCCATCCTGGCCTTCAGTGACGGGCGCTTGGCTTCTGACATCGGCTTTCAATTCGGGCATTCAAGGGTCTTGCATCCTCGCCACGTATCCTTACAAGTCTGGTCGCAGTGTACTGGCTAGAAGTTTTGGCTCCGTTGCTTCCCCTGCCCGGCAGACGCCAGATTTTGTTTCTGGCCCCTGTTTCTGCTCACGGCTCACGATTCCTTTGCGGGGTGCCTCCTGCCATGTGTTTCTGCGAGCTGGCGTCCTCCCTCAAGCTCCGATGCCAGGCGGCCGAGACCGAGGCATCCCTGAAGGCGCGGCTTGGCCTGCTCGAGCGCGAGAAGCAGACGCTCCAAGAAGAGGCCGATGCCCCCCTGAGCTTGCTCGTGCGCATCGACACTGAATCAAGCCTTGGTGGTTTTGCTCCTACTGCCTTGCTTGCGGTCTGCAGCCGTGAACGGAAGTGCCGCTCTCTTCCATCCGTGCAGCTCTGTTCTTGGGGACCCGTCCAGGTCACCAGTCTGATTTGACCTGCTGTCTGTGCAGCAGTGCTGCACTGGCAGGGGAGGCCTTGCCGGGACACGGATGTGCAGTCTCATGTTCGGGGCTTGACCGAAGATGCCCTCGGGCAAGCCGCCGCCGCCGCCGCCGCCCCCTGCTTTTGGAGATGCCGATGTGGCCAAGTGCCCGGCCAGAGCCCGGCAGAGCCGCCGGACCACGTGCTCCTGGCCACCCCCAGAGGCACGAAGGCAGTCGCGCGCTGCGCGCACCGCGGCTGGGGTTGGCGAGGCGCCTCTCTCCAGGGCGGCGGCGCGAGGGCTCGAAGATATCCGCGCGTCGCGCATCGCGGGGCGCGGTGTGCGAAGCTGGGTGGCATATCCTAGCCGTCCGTGAAGCAGATGTGGGATCTCCGTCGTTGTTTGGGGTCTCCGTCGGTGTCCCTGGGGTTTGCATCTGAAGCCTCGGGGACCACCTTGGGGGCGTCTTAGAAACGCCCTGGGCCATCTGGGGGTCCTGGACATCCTGGGCCACATCGGGGGCCGCCAGGCCGCCAGACGAGACACACTATTTGTGAGTCGTCCCTGCCCGATTTTGTCTTGTCAATCGCTTGGTCGCGTCGGCATCACGAACCTGCAGGCCCAGCAGGGACGGTCCGGGGCGTCCCGAGCACCCGAGCCGAGGGCAGCGCCGACGGGCAGGGGCGGTCCTGCGGTGCAGCCGTCACCCGCTGCGGCCTCTGCGGGGTGGGGGGGAGGGTCACCACGAGAGGGGTCCTGAGGTACAGCCTCGGCGACTGACCAGTGGTTCCGCCAGGGTGTCGTTTGCGATCTTCGCAGTTTGGGCTTGGGGGTCACCACGTTGCGCCAGAGGTTTCTGTTGAGCCCTCGTGACCACACCCTCTGCAAACCGCACCCTTCGGAGTCGCCGAAAGCTGAGGAAATGCAGACATGGGTTACTCTAGCAACGCACCTCAACAACATGGGCGAGAGCACGGCCCTGTGCACGTTGGTGTGTTCTGCTGCAAAATGTCGTGGCCGTCCGGACCAGAAATGCAGCCAGCGTTGAGGCGAGATCACGATACCTTAAATCCATAGTGTGTGAGGAAGTCGTGCGAGACGGCTGCAATACCAGCTGCCAGACCTGGCGGTCTAGGTCTGGGGCTCCCCGTCCCCTACGGGGGTTCTTTTGTGTTCCATCCAAGCCGTCCTGCGAAATGCTGCTATGGAATTCGGGCGAGTGGAGCAGTGACGAGTCCCACTCTTACAGGAAGTAAGCGCTTTCCGTCGCCAACTTGGTTGGCGCTGGCCTCATGCTTCGGGGGATACCTTCCTCGATCCGTGGATCGGACGCCCACGCGCGAGATGCACGGATCCGTAATCCATGTCAGCGTGTGCCCGAGAGGTGATCCGTAGCCTTTAGCTCGAGGCAGTCGTTTGGCACAGGATAACTACTCACGGACCAGTCCCTCCAGAGCTACCCGTGGCAGCGCCATGCCGCACGTTTTCAACGAGGAGAAGGGCAAGTTCGAGCAGGTGCACCCCTTCAAGGTCCCACAGTGCCCGTCCAAGAGCGTGCTGAAGCGCAAGCGGAACTCGGAGTACATGAAGTTCCTCCTCGCCTCCGAGCCGGTGCCGGAGAAGATGGCCGCCCGCCTGGCCGCCAAGGAGGAGAAGTAGAGTGAGCTTAGCCCAGCGCCTCCCTTGCGGGATGCACCCGTACGATCTGGGCGAGCTCTCGGCACGCGCGTCGGTGGGTTCGCGGGCCCGCGGGCCCAGAGTGCTGCCTGCGGGAGGAGAGAGCAGCGCTTACCACCACCACCACCAGTCGCAGGCCCTCCCCGAGATGTTCTGGAGCTCCTGCCGCCCCCACAAAAAAATCGTGCACCGATCCGGAGCTCCTGTCGCGCGTGCGGCCCTCCAAGGCGGCACGCTCTCGTTCCTGTGTGCCCTGGCCTGGGCGTCTGCCCCCCCAAGGTGGACGCCCCTGTCCGCCCCTCCCTCCCTCCCTTGCGTCGCGCTCGCCGCGCTTCCGCCCCCCCCCCCCCCTGCTGGCTCTCCTTTGCGTGCGGCCCCCCCCAAGAGCTGCGCGCTGGGTGGGCCCCCGCCCGGCCTTCTCTGAGCCGCCACCGCCCTGCTGCTCTTGCGGCTGGGCTCGCCTCCGCCTGGCTGACCCTGTGGCAGGGCGGCTGCCGCTCCGCCCGGTTGTGATGCGTGCGCCGGCCAGGCCTGACGCTTGTCCTCCCTCCCCCCTCCACCGCCTCAGCAGTTCAGCTTCCTCGGGGCTCAGTCCGGCAGCATTGCAGCAGCCCATTTGCGTTGGCGCAGCCCCTCGCGTGCTCCTCGTGCGGCCTCGTGGACCCCGTTCCTGCGTCCAGCTGGCGGCCCTTCTCTGCAGCAGAGTCTAGCGTTTTCGGCATCGTGGTGAGCTTTCGGATGCCCGCGCTCCTGCTCCCGCTCCTGCTGCCGTGGGTCCTCTTCATGCCGTTCTCCCCGACGGATTGGTTCACCTTGCTCAGTGCGCTTCTTGCGCCTGTAGACCTGGCTTCGGTCCCTGGGTGTGGTCGTGATGCCGTCCCGCGCCCATTGCCAGGTCACTTCGGCCACGGCTGGCCGCACTGGTGCGCTTATATTGACATGCTTTCTGCGGTGAGTGCACTCCTCCCCTCCCTTCTTCGGCCGCCCTGTCTTTCGGCGCCCCCCCTTCTTGCAGCTGGAAATTTAGTTCGTCGTGCGTCACCGTCCCCGACTGCCGCCTTTCTCGTGCTGCGACGCCAAGGGTGCCCGAATGGTGCGTGGGGGGGCCCTGGGGCTTTTGTGGACGCAGAGCTGATCCCAGGACAAGCGCGGTGGCCCAGGGCCTGTTCCCCTCGGACCCCCCCGTTTCGCTCGAGGCAGAAGAGGGCTCTGGGGGAGGGCAGTGGGGGAGGGCTCACAACAAGCCTCATCGGCGATTTTGATTTTGGGTGGGCAAGGAAAAATGCAACGGGAACTATACTCCATAATTAGAGTGCCGACGCATTGCCGTGCCGCTCAAGAGCTGAGCACCAGAGGCACTGACTGCAGTTGAGCGATCGAACCTACATGTGAATACGCTCCTTGGTGGACCTGGCAAGGTTCATATCGATCCGGTCGACCTGATTTGATATCGATGCTGGCCAGTTCAATCCGAACTGTTTTTTTGATCTTCTGACGACCCGATACTTCCTGATTCTCGTATGGCTATGTTGAGCATCCCAGCGCAGCTGGCCCAAGCTGATTTCGACTCCGTGCCGATGCAGCCCGCTCCGACTTACGTTCCGATCCGATCCGCTTTATCGATCCCATGTTGATTGATGCTGTCCCAGTCGCGAGATCGCGGTGTCGCGTTCTGCCTCGAGTGTCGCGTGTATTCGAAGTGCGAAGCCTCGGGAGGCGTCAATTGACCACCTCACCGACTCTGGCTTGGTCCATCCTTGGCCAGGATCGGCGTATGATCATGCATAACCACCGCCTGGGGGATCGGTCTTCGGGGACCTCGACAGGCGGTGGGTATCTATTAGGGCACCAGGTGGTCCAAACATGTCCATATCCATTGCCTCTTGGGGTCCCAGAACTTCGGTTCCCCAGGCGGTGGAGTTGGACGAAGCTCCGCTTCGCAGTACCGGCCCGGGCCGCGTTCGAGCAACGCGCGGACGTAGGTTGGGCTCGATGCGCGCTATGGGGTCCGACCGATGGCCCTGCGCAGGGCGAGGCCGGGGAACAAAAACAGGGGGCCTGGCAGTAGTCGCTGCACAGCGCGGGTCATCTCGAGGGCAAAACTGACGGCATGAGCACAGCATGGACCTGATGCAGGGTTTCCTGCCATTTGTAGGCTCCTGATAGCCACTCGTTGCTGGCTTTGTTTGCGATGCGGTGAATGCGTTCTGTTTGCTCGTGCGCTTGTTTGTTCGTTCGTTCGTTTGTTTGTTCGTTTGTTTGTTTGTTCGTTCGTTCTTTTGTTTGTTTGTATGTTCGTGTTGCGTGTGTATATGTCTGTAGGCATTTGCATGAAAGAGTGCGCTGCGGGAGACGGGAAGAGCAGGAGGCCCCCAGCTTCAAGCTACACCCCCTTTCCTTTTATAATGGGGGGGGCTTTCCGAAGCTACCCCCTTCCCTTTGGGAAGCTGGAGCCCCTCTCTGAAGGGGGGTGAGCTTGGAAAGCCCCCCCCCCCCGCCGCCTACCCGTCTTTCGACGCCTTGGTAAGGTGGGGCTCGCCTTTCCAAAGGGAGGGTGGCTTCGGAAACTCCCCCCCCCTTTCTGCTGTAACGGGGGGGAGGGCGGCTTGAGAAGCCAGACTCCCCCTCCCCCTTTGGCTTCCAGGGTGAGCCTGAGCTCCCCTTTCGAAGGTGGGGGGGGTCTTCCCCTGCTGCCCCCTGCCAGGGTCCATCTCAATCCGATCGATCCGGCTCGATACTGATTCTGGCCGGCCCGATCCGATGCCAGTCGTCCAGCGATCCGATGCAGCGCCGATGCTCGTATGGCGCACCAGGTGCGGCCGATCCGATCCGATTCCGACTCCGTGCCGATGCGGCCCGGCACGACGCACGTTCCGATCCGACCAGATTCGCCGATTCGATGCTGACTGATCCTGCAGCTGGCGCTGGCTGAAGCCATGGCCAGTTGCTGCCGCTGGCCCTGGCCTGGCTGGAGCCAGTACCGGTTGTCACCACGAAGCCCTTGCTGGCCCCGGGCTGGGGGGTGCCCAAGAGGGGGTTGAGGACTCGGCGGGTGTGGATTCAATTGCCAGGGCCAAGGGACTCCATGGCCCCTCTGCTTTTTTCAAGACGTTTCCTGACCCCCCCCCGTGTCCGCGCACATGCCTCGGGCCATGATGCGCTTACCCATCTCTTACATCTCTCACCGCCCCCTATCGTCGGCGCGCCCGAGAAGTTCACACAGTCGTGGAGTCTGAACATGGCCGCGCCTTCAATCTCTCTCTCTTGGGTTGTGGCCGTCCGCCTCCATGGGTAATCGTGGGTCTCGTATTTTCAGATCGTCTCAGCAGCGCGCAAGCCTACAGGTTGCAGTGGTGCGCCCAGGTCGTGTGGCCAAGATCGTCTGCGCCATGCCAGCTTGCTTTCGGATGGCTGAGCTTTCTGCTGCATTCTCACCAGTCGTCCTCCTTTGCCTCGTTTTCCTGCTGCTCCGCTGACAGTCTAAGCAGATTCTTTGTCAGACAGGTCGTGTTCATTTGTTGCCTGCCGTAGTTCTCTCTGGTTTAATTGTCCGCAGGCTGAAGTGACAGAAGTGGCCCTAAGAAGCCAGATCAGCCAGCTCAAGCAGCAGGCAGTTTCACTCGCCAAGGCCCCCCCATGTCGGTCCGTCTGCTGTTTCTTTACAGCGGCCATGCTCAAGCGTCCGTTCTGAGCTCCCACTAGCAGTTTGAAGCTTGGTAATCGGATAATCACCATGAGGCCGCCCAGCATGGTCAATATCGATACGACTTGATTCCGACGTTTCGACGATCCGATGCAACCCGATGTTCGCATAGCGTTGTTGTACATTTTGGCGCAGTGTACGCAGCCGTGACACAAGTTTCTTCAACTCGCTATGGCGAAGATATCTCCCATCCCTCCGAACATTCCTAACATCATAGTTCCGATCCGCTTGATGTTGACAACTCTGTTACCCCAAAATCGGATTGGAAACTACGCGCCACACCAGAAAACTATCGAGCACGATTCGCCCGCACGCGGAGTAGTTGGAGTACTTCTATTCCGAATTGCTACGCCCTGCTGCGTTATTGGCAAAGGGAGATTGACAGACATTTTTGTCACGGTGAATGGGACAATTGCAGTCCGTTCTGTTTCTTCATGGGCTCATCCGATACATTCCAGGGTCACGTCGATGGCGATGGCGATAATACGGTGATCATGACGACGTTTATAATGATGCTGGTTGTGGTGATGCTGGCGATGGCGATGACTATTCACCGCGTCCAGTAGGGCCACTGGTGGGGCTCCCTATGGGGCCACGAGGCGTGTGAGAGGGAGCCGAATTTGCGAGGTGGCGGCGTGCGACCGCGGCCAGCAGGGCCTTCGGTGGATCTCCCCATGCGGCCGCGTAACAAGGAGGGTGCGCCGAAATCATGAGCTGGCGGCGTGCGACCGCAGCCGCTAGGGCCCTCGGTGAAGCGCTTCGTGGGGCCACGAAACGTGCGCGGGGTGAGCTGCTATGGCGAGGTGGGCGCGGCGTTGAGGCGGTAGACGCGCGCGCCCGCGGCTTCGTCTTCTCTGCGATGACGAAGCGATACCGACATAACGAAGGTCTTCCGAGAGCCAAGATCAGCGTCGAGGCTTGTAGGACGAAGAGCATTGCCTTATGGGGCGTTCCCCCTAACAGCCCTGATAGGAACCCTGTAGAGGTTCTGGGGCTGGCTTCGTAGGGAGTTTCGGTCGACGGGCCAGGGGGACTTGCGCAAGAAGCGCCAGCCCTTGGGCAATGCGGCCCGCGCCGTCAGGGTCAGGAAGGTCATGGAGCCGGCCAATGCGCCGACGGTGGCGGAGAACGTGGCTGGCAGGCTGCTGGAGGCCAGCAAGCAGGTCGTAGACCGAAGCTGGGCCGCTGCCGACAATTAGTTCTCGATTGCAACTTGCCTGGGCTTCCCTGTTTTCTCTTGTTCATCTTGTGCTCCTCCCCTGTTTATGGTAGGCCTTTCTGTCTCTGTCCTTTTTGTCCCTGGGCTTGTGCGTCCCCTGGGAATGCATCGTGGGAGAAGAGGGCCAAACTTGCACGCGGCCGTGACAACAGTTTCTTTCAGTTGCTATGGGCGAAGATACCCCTCATCCCCCTGAGTATCCCTGATGCCAGGATATTGCAGCATTCGGCGGAGTAGTTCCGATCTGCTTGATGTTAATGACCCTGCTACCCCAAAACCGGATGGGAAACTACTCCGCGCTGCGCTCTCTGCAGCGTCGAGCAGGATGTGCCCGCGCTCGGAGTAGCTGGATCATTTTTACTCCGAACTTCTCCGCCCTGCTGCGCCATTGGTGAAGGCAGATTGAAGGAAACATTCCTCGCGGTGATGGGAAAATGGTGGACGCTTCGCGTCTTCCCGCCACCAGCTGGCCCCTAGGGTTTTGGCCGCCGTGTCTTGCAGCAGTGGTTCAGCCTTCCTGTCCAGCCGGGCGTGTCCCCTGGCGGTCTGCCTCTCTGTCATCTGGCGCCCGATGGCGACAAGGATTAATTTCCGTGCCTGGTGATCTCGCTC